ATCTGCTCCATGAAATCCTGGAAAACAGTGACAGACACCGGATACACACTCGCCATTTCCGTGACAATTACGTGGGCAGTCTTGCACCGAATCTGAAACACAAGCATCACCAGCACATTAGTTGGTTCCCATCTGGGCTACAAATTCTTTGCTTATTTTTTCCTTAGTTTATTTCGTCTTCAATACTTAGAAGAACGATCCCTCTCTAATGATATTAATACCGCAAACTTCAGGTGAGGCAGAAAGGTACTAAGTTTTATGGCAGCATGAGTAAGTGAAGAGATCTAGCGAGATACTGAAGTCACCTATTTAGTCTCTGAGCACCATTAGAAATCCAAGTCTTCTGAGAGTGCTCAAGGCCTCTGTTCAAACAGGTAGACAGGAACTGCATCTTAAGACCCCGACAGCTGTGTGTGAATTCATATTATGTAGCAAACATAATGCTTCATCAGGAAAATCAGCAACCTCCCTTTTTACAATGAGACTTTGAACTTGCACAACCACTTTTCCGTGTGAAACTGATTATCCTAAGGAGTGTATCTTCTATTCCTTCTACAGACATTTAAAGACTCATTAATTAAGGTGACAGAAATATCTACTGAACGTGACAAAGAGGAGGTCTTTTGCTACAGAAAATATTCTTTAACCTAAAAAAAATTAATAAAAAAGGTGCAAGTAGTGACTCAGGAGGATGAAGAAGAGGTCTATAAAAATAGAGGACAGGGTTTAACACTAAAGTTTACGTGATGACTGAAGCATTGATGACTTGAATAATCTGAGAAGAGCAAGCACACCAGCCTGATGATAAAGTTTCAATTGTACCAAAGTATTCCTTTTCCACACTTTCTGCTATTATTTGGATAATATATATACTACTTTGCATGATAACAACCTAGAAATAAAATTCCAATTTCAAAATTAATTGTTAAAATCACTTTCATTTGAAAGCTGTTGGATTTCACTGGCACATATTGTCAACATTGAATTATTAGAACAAAAATCTGATCAGAATATTGTTACTCTTCACTATTACTGCAAGCTGTTGTTGTCCCAAACTAAATGGCTCTGTCAGTCCCAGACACCAAACAAATAGCACCTGTACAACACAGAAAACAAATTTCGGGTTTGGAACTAGCAGAACCATACAGAGTATTTTTCTGTCAAATTAAACTGAAAAGAGGAAAAAGATTCAAACAAACTTTAAATCCAGTTTCACAGTTGCAGGACACTAAATAAAAAAACCTTAAAGAAAATTTTCAGAGATGTCATTAGCTTGGCCTCTTGAAATGGCTCATGTACACAATGAAAATAGAAATTGAAACGTAATGCTCAAAGTCATCAATCTGTTTCATGAAGAAGCCTGTCTACAGATTTATTCATTATTTTGCTTCATGGCACACAAAAGCATTTTCTATGTATTCAAAATCATGGTAAATTTAGTATTGTCTGGGAGTTAACATAACTTCTGTTATTCTTTCTCCTCTTCCACTTCAAAGACACTTTTAGCTGTCTCAGATCCTTTGATTGTGAAACATCTGATACCAGGTGTGTGTAGAAGAACCTCTGAACTGGATAAAACACTATACTTTTCTCTACATTTCAGTCCAATTACTATTATTGCACTATCAAGTAGTCTACCTGACTATTAGACCTTGATGCTCTTGAAAGCTGTAACCTAGACCAGGCAACTCTTCTAAGGACAGCTTATCATATCTGAAGGTTTTCTAAGCACAATAAGGACATAACAAGATACAATATTGTTGTTTTTGGAGAAGCAGAAGCAGCAAATATATCTATCAACATGCATAGCACCTAGTAACCCTTACAAAACAACATATGAGCTATGGAAGAAAAAGAATTTTTGCATCTTAATTGAGGTTAATAGAAACAATTATATTCATACTTAAGAACACAGTGTTGGCTATCCTCCTACATCCTGTGGGACATAAGCCAACAAACTGAATTTTATACTAATGTAAATAGGAAAAATTAAGCTTCATATCACTAATCAGGCAAGATTGGAAATGATCTCCAACTATTTTTCATCAAGCTTAAAAACTCGCTTGGACTTTTTGCAGTTTCTTTTTCCCTAAACTAACAGAAATTACAGATTTATACAATATAGTGCCATTTAACACTTCACCAGCCAGGATAGAATAGCACACAGACTATCAGAATTTTATATGCCACTGTGACAAGATACTCGGCAAAGCTCAGCAAGTGCTTCAAAGTTCAACAAACCTTCTGAAAAAGCTTGGAGAATTTAGACGCAGTTTGATTTTCAACTAAATGAAACCCTATTCTTCTAACAAAACTGCAGGCTTCTCAGGTCATAGGCTAGATGTTGTTCTGCTCTTGATTCCACCATGTTGAGGAGATGACCACTATTAGGTGAGTAGTAAGCTCTAAAACAGCATATGGGTAATTAAGTGACTCAATTAATCTCTGGGGTGACTGTAAAGAATAACCTCATTTGCAGGTGTCACTTTCTTGTGCCATCTTTCTACTACGATTAAACAGCTCTCCTGTTGCATATGATTCCACTGGGGTGTAAATAAGCTTCTCAGGAGAAGCAAATAAGGAGTGTAGAAATGATAGAGATAAGGGAGAGGAACATTAACTGGGGAATGCTTCAACCCAGACTGAATTTATATGAGTCTTGTTTTCCACAACTAAACTCAAGATCCATGGGAATGCTAAAATCTTAAAAGAAATCAGCAAATTAAAATCAGCACCCTATTGCAGACCTTTTGACAGAGTAGCGTTGGGAAAAAAATTACACAACATAACATAAGGATAAACAGGCCGAATACTGAAGACTGCAAGAAAGTATTATGACTTTAAGTAATGGAAGGTATAAACAGAGGAAAAAATGCTCAGCTTGTGGAGATACCTACCCAAAACAACCGTACTGAAAGAGACCACTTCTTTGTCCTTGCCATCATTGTAAAATGCCAGGTGCCACAAACCCACATCCAAATATTGAACAAACACAGCCTCATTCTGAACAAGGGTCTGAATACTTCGACGTTCCCGTGGGGACTCCACCACGCTCCATTTCTCTTTCCCATCCAAGCGTTCCATGAAATCATACTGCAGGGTGAAAAAACAGGAAAAAAAAAAAAAAAGAACACAAACAAATAAAATCCCAGACAGACCTGAATACAGAATGGTATTTCATCTCAAAATCTGACACTATATTTTCTCTTCTACCTTGTCAATAAAATGGTATTTCTGAAAGATATGCCAATGTGAAACTAATATTTACTAGCGGACCACGGAACACACAGAGATTCTGTGACTCTTACCCTTTCCTAAACAGTGATACAGAATTATGCATCTTTGCTCTGCATAGGTGATCAAAAAATGTACAAATGGTATTTCAAGACAGGCTGGGTTTTGAGAAAGAAGTTGAAATCAATGATTTGACCCATCAAATTTTAAGTTCCTGCATAGCTTTCAAAGTTGGAAACCTTCAACCTATGAGACACACACCCTTTTCTAAGAAATCACCTACAATAAATTCTTGCTGCAGGAGGAACAGAAGCCTCAGGTGCAGTTCCAGACATATAATTGAATGGAAGCCCCAGAATGTGAAAACAAACAGGAACAGAAAATCAGGAAATGTGTTTTTCTAATGTTAGGTAACTCAGCACCTGGTAAAAATACACTGTACAAGTTTTACATCACAGAGTAAGAGTTGCTTACCTGAGTTTGTATGTGGAACAATCAGGGGCAAGTAGGATACAAAAACCAGAGGGAGCGTGGAAAGGAATAACACAAATCAAGTGGCTGGAGGAATTGAACTTATATTAAAGAAAAGGGAAAATTTCTGCTTGGATGGTTTCCAAGTAAGGTATACCATTACATTAATCTTCAGAAAAGGGATCAAACAGAGCAAGTGATTATTTAGAGTATAAGAGGGATGACACCATTAATGGCATGAAACTAAAAAAAGAAATAAAGAAATTTAAGATGAATGTCAGATAAGCTTCCCATCTATTAAGCTCAGTAATAGCCTCCCAATGGAGATGCCACTGCATCACACAATTAAAAAGGACTGGAAGAAATATTGGTTAATCTACAACAGGGAATAACTCTGCATAACAAAGCAGCTGGACTAGCTGTCCTAATAGGCTTTTTTTTCGGTCTTTAACGTCTGTGATTCTGGAAGTCTCAAGCTGGTGTTATGCTCAGCTTACTAGCTCTCACAGTCCTTATCTAAGGGAAGCCCTTAAGAAACAACAAAAGTAATATATCTGATCTTTTGATAGTTGCATAACAAGTCCCCTATGAAAATACCTCTTGTTTTGGACACATTTATCTATGCAGGAGTAGACACAGATAGATAGACATGTCTAAAGAAAGATGTGTATGTTCAATAAAATACGGTAATAGTACGTGCTTGCTTGCCAGTAGTTTCATTGCATTTCCCTCCATTATCTCTGGCACATACAGTCTGGGCTTGCAAAAGCTCTGAGAAAACATACATCTTCACTTGCTTTCAGTTTAAATAGAAATCGGTAATCTCGCATTCTAAACAGACCAAACATCCAGTGAGGGCTGTCTTGTACACTGTATTCCACTCATTCACAGTGAGTTCTAGCAAATAATACACAATGTGCAATAAAACAACAAAGATTCTCCCTTCTAGTAGAAGAGACAGACAGATGGACTGATTTAACACTTTAGTGCCATGCTGCACATGTAAAACTAGCTACCATCTAAAACTGGTCTATAAAAGCTGACCTTTCTATCTGAAATTTTGTAACAGTCATGTATGAGCCGAGTCCTTGATACACTTAGCCTTACAACAAAGGGAAAAGTATGGAAGTACAATTACCCTCCTGTTAAACATGTGGAACTATGACACCGATGTGCAGCCACAAAGGAAGCCCATGGCAGGGCAGGAATTTGAGTGCAGGTCTACTAATGTTGAAAGCTATTGTCACAGTAAGTGCATTATCCACTTTTCCCCATGCCTTTAATTGTGGGAAAGAAGTTTCACCAAACTCTTAGTATCAGATTGCCATCCACTTGAGCCTTTTTCCACACGGGATTTTTGCAGGAGAAAGTAGACCAGGTAAATTAGTATATTTAAGGCAACACACACCAGAGATTTAAAGAATTCTGGCGTGCCAGTAACTTTCAGAGTACCAGAGGTGTCAACCACACATATATCTATCTATCTCTTAAATCAATGACATTTGGAAATATTGCTAAAACCCATTGCCTAACAGTCAGAGGTTAAGGACAGACTCATCACCTCCTTGGGAAATGTTATTACTTGGGCAACATCTCGGGGAAAAAGAAATCTTGAACAATCATTCACAAAGGGTCAACTAAGGAAGTAGCAATAAAAGCTGACATTTCTCACTGGCAACATGCTGTTCATCTCTGCTTGTGCTGGCAGGTTCCTCTGCCTCCCCTCTGTTTGATGCTGATTCTACCTCATACAGCAGAGAAGGCTCAGCAGTTGGCAAGATCGAAGGGGAAGACTATTCAGGCTGAAACTGCTTGAAGTAGTTTCAGCTGCAGAATCTCTTTTCACAAGGATGGAGTGTGACCTAGTGAGAGCAGGTCCCTTGGCGTGACTCCACATAAGGCTACAATTTTAACTTTGGTAAAGTTAAGACTGGTATTGCCCCTTTTTAATCAAACTATGAAGAACTATTGCATGCTCAGGCAAAAGCAAAATGACTAAACCCAAGTAATTTCATGAATGATGAAGTACCAGTGCAAACTGATACAGAATATAACAATACATTTTTATCGCTCTTTGGATTCCTCAGGACTGAGGAAAAAGAAAACAGATAATGTATCTGCTGGTGATTCCTCGGGTGAAAATCTTAATGTGTCAGCAAGTACTAGGTATATGTCCCCCAAAATCTAAAATCCCTGACTGAAGGGTCACCGAGACGGTACTGTGAATTCATAACCAGGTAAGACTTCTTCACATGGTTGGCTGAATCGTCATTTTGCTTCCTGTGGTCCAGTTGATTTTCCAATTTACCATACCTGATTAATTAATTTTATATAAAGTTGTGCTGAAGATACCACTCTTGCTTTGAAGCTACTTATTGACAAATACACATACATAAAAAGACTCATCTAAGAAAAGATTGAAAATACTTTCATGATCAAGAATCAACTGTGGAATTTTTAATCTAACACAAACAACTGCTAAGGAAGAGACTACTAAATCACATGAATTAGGGAAAGGATCTGTCAAACCAAACCAAATCTCTGAAGTAACTTGGAAGTTCCACGGACTTTTTTTTTTTTAATGATGCTTTATATTTCATGGCTTTATACTGAACGTCACGGAAAAACCGCAAAAACCGCTCAGAAACAAAATGCACCAGAAATCCCAAATGACTGCATCTTCAGAGTTCAATTTTGCAAGGGGGGAGTACTTACTGTGATTAAAGCTCCATATAAGCAAGTGACTTGCCAGCTACTCCTCTAAACAAATTCCACATTCACATTCTCAGTGAGGTTGTTTATTTTTACTACACAGCATACCAAACCCCTACTGCATACTTTTATTTACAAACCTAAGTGTCATACTAAGTTCTCTCTGGGCAATTTTTTTTTTTTAATTTTTCTATTCAGTGCTTTCTATCCTCCTCTGATACGTTTTATTCATCGGCTAATAAGGACTTTCTTTTTCCAGGAACCACGGGGAGTCAGCAGAACAGGTTTGGAACTTTACATACGTGGTAGTGACCACACTGTACAACGCCATCCCTATAGTGCAGATCGACTGAGCCCAATTGCATACAGGAACTCGTGAAAGCATGGTGAAGCAAAGATAGCTTTGCAGGGGTCAAGACTGAAAACGCAGAGACACTGCATAATATTTGGGTTTTTCTTAGGTTTGAAATTATTTGCATGGCTCCACAAAATCCCTAACAGTGTTTGAAATCAGGAATTGAAAATAAAGATTTCTTAGAGCTCTTGTCTTAATAGTAGACACATACTCAAAGGGAGGGGGTGGGGGGTAGGGGAAGGAAAAAACATGTTTGGCATTGTGGCTAGCATTCTTCTTTATGCCAAAGCCCTGTAAGACCTAAGCAGCCAAGAAAAGATACGTCAGAGAAACTTGTTTGCAAAGTGCTTTGAAATTCTTCATAAAATCCAGCTGGTAATTATTCATTAAAATACACCCGTGAAACATCTGATACCCACAGTAGCAGCCAACCGATTTGTTTCAACATTTGAATGTGACACAACCCAACCAGTACAGCATTCAGTAATAACAGCACAGTTGCCATTAGATAACTTCAAGGTGGTCAGAGCATCTAAATGTGTTTGAGCACTGGCTAAAACCCAAGGTAACACTAAAGCTCTCCAGCTATTCAAGTTGTTTCAAATAAAGCCATTTCTTGTTCTAAATGAAAACAGTTTTCAGTTTGACATGAAAAATTTCTAACTACAAAACACTCTGCTGGAAATGAAAACAATACAACTCCATGCACTGCCTTCTCCAGACATTACAGTGATGTTTCTATAAGGTTACCTTATTTCATGCGTCATTTGGAATGTTCTACCAACGTGTAGTAACATCATAATTGCTGTAATCTCTGCAGAGTCACTTCATGCATTATTTGACATTTACAGTTCATTTTCTATACATTATCCATTTTATTAACATGACTATTTTCTACTAATTTCCTATTGATCATCCAAGCCTGCAATGGGTATATTGTAATTTCTATGTAGTACTACACAGGCTGGAATAATTTTGCTTTCAGCAATGCAGTCCTGCTTCTAGTCTGCTTGCCACTCAAAACTGCATTTTTACCTCTCCTCTAGAGCTCCACTCCCTATGCACATGGCACACAACGCTGCTTCTAGACAAGTTTACAGCTGCATCAGTTTGACTGACTAAACCAGGCATTTGGAATATTTGCTAAACAGTAATACTGAGAAGGTTAAATCTCAGCAGGGCTCTCAGACAGGAACTGCATCTTGTTGTCTGAGGCTAATCATGTACCTAATTTGCTGATTATTGACTTGCTCCCACAAAGGATTTTACTTCACTTGACATATCAGCACTGATCAGTGATGAACTGTCAAGTGTAGTTGTTCACTGCTTTACAGCTCATGTCCCTAACCTGCAGAAACAAGGATTTTAAATTTCAATTTTAAAATATCGTCTGGTGTCAACTTATGACTATTTTCATTAATACAAAACCATTCTGCTCCTTTCTGTCAGAACAAGGCTTCTTTTCACTAACTTGCGTCTGTAGCAGCTTGCCTTTCTTTTTCTAAAATTATTTGTCTTGGTAGAAGTCTGGCTGAATTTTGATTTCTGGGCAAAAATGCTGCTGTACCACCCTGTTGATAAGTACCAGGTCCCTGCATGAATATGGGAAAGTGATTCTGCAGATTATACTGCCAAATTTCATGAACTCCAGTTATGGAAGAGGGTTGTAACTGCTTCCTCTAAAGACTGGAAAACAGGTTCTCTGAGGAGAAATCCAGCTCAGCAGGA